ACGCAGTGCCCGAATGCAAGTATCCCCTTTCTACATCAGCTACCGAGCCAGGCCCGCTACACGCAATGGCAACAATTTTGGTGTCCCGGCCGTGGGGGTGGTGACAGGGGAACCCGACTGGAGGGGGGACGTGAGGGCTCGGCAGATTAGAACGAACTAGCGGTGGGGGTGGTAGTTGAAAAAGGTATACTAACGGAATGGAACCCGGTGACTAGGCTTTTAAAGGGCGTGGGACAGAAAAAATCAATCGTGAGACGGAATTCAGTAATATTCGATAGTAGCGCTGGTGAGGCAGACATAAAGGAATCGACCTAGAAAGGAGAGAGGAGAGAGAGAGGAGTAGAGAGAGATGGCTGAGCTGTTCTAGCTGAAGATAAAGTTGCAAAATCGAGTTCAAGGGCCCCGAAAGTGCGAGAATCGACCCATCCCTTCGACTATGTCTCGACAACTACGAAGCACGCCAAAACACCTTTCGAGTTAGTTAATTTGCGTTTAAATCGAAAAAAACGAACCGGTTTGGAACCAATCCATCTCGCTCCTCTCGTCTTCTTTAATCGTAGGAAAATGTGCAGAAATTTCGGCGTCTCTGAAAATCAGAAAATGATTTTCGCAACGCCCGCCGCATTCCCTTTATACGCGACGACAAATTACGGTGAACAGGCGTGCGTGGCAATGTATTGTCTCGTGGAAGTTGATAATTTTACGAGAATCTCGAGCGGGGGCGCCACCAATTTGGAATGCCACTCACCAGACGAAACATTGGCGAGGCATGTCCAGGCCAGGTTGTGGCTCCTACGGGGCCTTCTGCAAAAGGCGCGTTTGTGCAGTGTAGAATATTTGTAAAAAGGCAATAAAATCGAAAGAGGGACCTGATGGAAAGATGAAAAAAAGAATTTTTGTGTTTGTGACGCAAATTTTGGAGGATTTGAAGACTTTTTAAAAATAAATTGGATGAAGATATGCAGCCTTCTGAAAACTCGTAAAAACCAAAATGATTGGCAATATATAAATACATAAAAAAAATAAATAAATAAAAAGATACTGTAACCGTGCAAATTCAGTGTTTCTAAAAACCTGATAAATGTGGCAAAATGTTTTTTTTTTTGAAAACGTTGAACCGATCCTCGCCATTTTCCTCAAGCGTAAAATTTTACGCTAATCTGAACATGTTACGTTGTTTTACACAAATTAGGAAGATTTTGAATTTTTTAAGGGCAGGCTAATGTCGAGATTTTTTGAACCTTAGCAGACTGCCAAATCCGAATTTTCAGACCAACGGGCTAAAAATTTTATTTCTAATTCCGTCCGGATACTATGAGCGTTGTCGAAAACGGATCGGATCTATAAAATCAGGGGATTATCATAAAAAAAATACTAAAAAACCACGAAACCGATGATCGAAATAAAAATTTGACTACCACCTTTCTGATGCCGACAGTATATTACGAAGTGCTCCCCAGCACCGGAAAGTGACGAACCACCATCACAAAATCGGCAACATCCCCCGGCTCACAAAAACCGGTACAATGAACCGAAACTGTTTTTAGGGCACGGAATGGGGGACTAGCCGAATATCGGCTGGCTGGCCTCTGTGGGGCTAGCGTGTTGTTGTTGACATTCCGCCTAGCGTGGTGCAGTTCTTTTTGCCGACCCTCTCCCTTTTTCAACCTCAGTTTCTCTCTCTCCCTCCTCCCTTTCCCCCCTCAATTTCCATCCCCTCAGCTGGAGATGTGAAACTGAAAAAGTGCAACCGGGAGCGAGAGGGGGGTTGCGAAAAAATATTTGCTTTTTCCGCTTTCCGCACGTCGCGGGGTGCCCCACTTCTGGGGTATAGTATTGAAATCCGGGATGCGGTTAGGGTAGACGATCAGATAAAAGGCTCGAGGATCGCATGGTGAACAGAGCGGATGGGAAGATCCGATCGGTTTTTGGGGATTACGGTAGCTCGGCGAACATCTGCTGGGTTTCTATGCCCGACGTGACTACTACGGGGCGCTATTTCCTGCGCTCTAGAACGATAATACTCCATGTTATCGCGTAAACTACCCCTTTAGCAAGTAAAAATCGTTCATTTTGTCATGAATCAAGATACTCAAGTTGGGACGTCATTGATGTAGAACTACGAATTATCCAAATTACAGATACGGGTGGAAAGACATCGTAGGACTCTTGGAAAGCTCGATCTCAAAATCATAACTGGAATTAGACTCAAACATGGGCCTTTAAAACCGGAAGCTAATTGTAAGCCATTTTTTGGGTTTACTTACTTTTCTAAACTTCCCGATTTAAGCAATCGTCCATTGGACCGGAATTTGAAATCTATCCTAAGAACATCTGTATTTTGTGTTTTTGTAGTTTGTAATTTGTAATATTAAATAATTTTCTTGAGGTGTCTGTGTGTGTGTGTGTCCGGTCCCGGATTCAACTCGAAGGGGAAAGGAGCCAGAGCTTAGGTCTCTTCGGATTCGGATAGAGCGCGGTCAGAAACCCCCAAACTGATAAAAAAATTACGAAAAGTTTTAGTTTAAATTATTAAAATTAACTTTGAAAGTTTTTTGCCTTAGTAAAAGGCGGGGGACAGAGGTTTGCCCGATTCCGGACATAGTGAGCCAGGTCGCGCGCGTTTCGGCCAGGGGGAGGGCGCACAGGGGGTAGCCCGAAGTCCAGCCGCTTGCAGCGGCCAAGCCGCTGGAAGCGGCTGGTTTGTAATATTAATATTGAACAGTTGGCTGGACCCACATGCGGGTCTAAATAAGCCTGCACCCGTGTCCGGTGACTCGAAAAATATCAGAAATTACCATATTATCACAAACCAGGGTTGAAAAACCGCTTCGCGGCTTTTCAACCCTGGACCCGTCTAGGACATCTGAAAATTTGACTTCACATAGGGCTTGCCGAATGCCGATCACCAAAAAATGAAAAGCGCACCCTCCCTCCCTTTTTATAGGCTACGGCCACTTCCGGTTAATGCTAATTGCCTCCTAACAAAGAGGTTTTTCGATATATTTACAAAAATTTAATTTTAATAGCGAAAACAGCCGATTTTCTTAAATTTTATATGTGTGCACCCATCTCGGGACCATTACGCACCTAATGACGTATCATACGTACCTTAAAAACCTGCCCCTGAGGCTGTAGGTGCGGTACATACTTACGGAAGTTGCATGCAAATATACACACACACACACACAGACACTATTTTTTTTTATATATAGTAGGATTGCGAAATGCACAGCTGATCAACAAGCTTAATCCTCCGGCTAGTGAATGCCTTTTAAATCGTAGGCAAATGGAAAAATTCCGCGGCATTTTTACAATTTTTATAAAACTTTAGAGTACTAGTGGTGGTATACGCTTAAGCACTTTGCACACTTTACAGTAATACTTTAGAATTTCACAGTTCCTTTTCCCTTGAACGTTGCTATGACACTCCCGTTGTTCTACAGCCTGTAATACGGTTCTATACTTCCTTCCCACTCCTATAGCTTACTCCCGACATCGCCCTCTAATTTCAACACCACCCCCACCCTTCATCACATGGCTGTTCTGGAGCCATGCCCCGCCATTGCATGTGACTAGGGTATTTGAGGGTGGCGGTGAGCCTCCCGTGTCCCGTCCAGAGAAGCCCTACGGAATGTCCAGTCCCCGGGCACGCTCCCGTTTTCGTACTAGTTCGCTATTGCTTTTCCCGGGACCAGGGTAGAGGCCAGCAGTGTCCCTCTATCCCTCTATCCCTTTCCCCTTCCCGCCCCCATCGTATAGCCGGGGGGACGGGGGGCTAGGGCCCGCGAATATGCAAAGAAATGGCCACCCTGGGACGAGAAAGAGACCCATGCCACCATGGCCAAAGGGCCAGAGCCAAAGAGAGGGCCAAAAAGTGTCCTCCCCCTTTTGCCGGGGTACCCCCGCGGGCGGCATCCGCGTGTCCCCATGCTCCCCGAGGTCCCATTTTTATACGATGGCGGGGGCACCACCAGGGGGTATGAAATAGGGTAGTTGGGGATCGGCTGTGATGAAAAGTATTGGCTTAAAGGGACCGGGAAGTCAAAAATTCTGGATCCCCTACGGAAAGGTGAATTTTACATTGTTATGCCTTTTTTTGCGCTAACGCGGGGTTTCAGGTGGTGGGGAGTTTCTGGTAGGCTCCCCGATCCGGCCAGGTTTCCTGAACTTGGTCAGTTTTTTCAGCTTTAAAGGGTTGAGAAACGGCAGAATCGACTTGTCCTATCTAGTATAAGTGTCGACAGATAAAGGTTATGCCATAATGAGCCAAATGCATTTTCAGGCGAAGTTGAACCAACGTGTAGTGGTCCATAACAAGCCGACGGAATCGGGTAGATTCTCAAGCTTCCATGGCACCTAAAGGGGTCAGGACGCCTCAGAGCAATCAGTATAAAAATCGATCATCATTTTTACTTTCATGTACTTTAGTTGTAATTTAAAAAGTAAAATTTGTGACCGTAGGAAATGAACATCTGAAAATAGCTTCCCATGTCACGCTTCTGATAAAGCTATATTTCCGAAGTTCTTCCTGAACCTGATCAGCTTGATGATCAGGACAGACTGCCGCTAGACCAGTTGCCACTTCCAATCTCAATGATCAAAGCACAACGCCATTGGATTGTCACCAACCAGCTCAGGTGGCCATCTCTTTTTTCCAAATTTTCCGTGGACTCGGATTGGGACATTACACCCGAGAGTGAGAGGTCCACACACACGTTCCTGAGACACGAGCACATGCTCGACGAGGGGAGGAAGGGGACGAAATGGACTGGCTGGCGTTGTAGGATTACTATGCGGAAAAAGGGACAAAAACTTGGCTAGTTAAAGCAGGTAATGTGAAAAGCTAAAATGAAGTGAAAATTAATGAAAAAGGAAGCAAAAGCAAAACGTACATCTAGGCCGAAAAAACTGGGCAATCTAGCAGAGATCATTTTGGAATTTAGGTTGTGTAGGACAACAAACAAATTCCAATAAATAAACCTATTTATCGACGCCTAATTTGGGCAAAAATGCTTCTCATCATAGCTTCTAGCCGTCTTGCACGCGCAAGCGTAGGTCTTCCGGCAGCTCGCCTCCTTGATGCACGACATTTTGTATTGGTCGTTACGGTGGTAGTAACTTAAATCTGGAATTTTCAAATCAAAAAGGCTAAAATACATATAATAATCCCTGAACAGCGTTTCATTTGTAAACATTTGGTCGATTACGGCATTAAATGAAGCTGGTGATAAATCGGGCATATTATAGGCTTCCTGGAAAGGTTACTAGCCAATAGTTTAATCGAAATTGTTTCTCGTTTGTAGTTAAAAATGGGATTAAACTGTTTTTTTTTAGGTAAAAATTACCTTCATTTTGTACGCCAACTTCCATTCAGGTTCTCCCCTTGCATTTGCCTCCGTTAAATTGGTATAGTAGGCCTCCCAATCGAGTACAGTCTAAAAATTAGGTATACCGTTACAATATGGTTATTTTTCTTACAAAGCTGCTGCCCTTGTAATTCCCGTCAATAGTATAGATACGGTAGCCAGGGTTGTTATACGCGTAGGTTGTAAGAGATGGTGCTACCATGTTGACGTGAGTAACTCGACCGGTCGGGTCTCCACGGTCGAAATAGACCTGAAAAATCCAATCTCGAAAAATCAGAATGGACTGTCACGTCCAGTACTGTACAATTAATACTATACGCACATGTCCACTACTATATAACAAATTAATGGAACTAGGGGCGAGCAGTAGGTCTATCCGGTAACGTTAATTTTTCACCTGAAAATGATCCTGATGCGTGTGACCGTAGAATTGGCCGGCGATCGTGTTTTCAAACCTGAAAGAAAGAGGTATAAATCGGGAATAAGAAAGCTTGATTCTTAGTAATTCTTTCGCTTAATTAAAAAGCATTTGACTGAAGCGTTTCCTTACCGATTAACCAAGTCATAAAAATTATGGGCCCACCCTCGTAGGCAATACCCCGAACCGGTCGGAATATGGCTGATGAGGTGGACCTAAAATGACACTAGATTTTTCTGATTTTCTCTACCTTCTCCCCCTTTTTCTCGGATTCCAACAAGTGATTTGATAGCCATTGAAGCGTATCGTCTGGGTCAGTGATGTTAAGGTAGACATAGCTAAAACATGAAGTTTTAAAAGCACGGATTTTGAAATCAAGCCCAAAAACTTACAAATTAAAATGGGAACAGTAGATGGTGTTGATCGAGATCAGCTTCAGCCCTGGATATGGGCGAACGGCGTAGCTGGCTCGACTAAAGTTTGGTTCGGCTGGAAACGTATGGAAATGGTAAAACAGCCGTCAATTCGGTAAGTTTGCAAAAATTCCTTACTATCGAATATCGACCATCGTATCTTCCGGCAGCCAGGTTCTCCAAGAATCCGCCAGAGTCGAGTATAGCCAGGCCGGGCCCCTCTGATCGTACTCAACCATGTTGTGGGAGGCCATCCTAAATTAGGTTATAAAACATTGGATTCTACTAGCGGGATTCCGTACGCTACGCTACGCTACAACTCACGCATCCCGGGTACACCTTCGTGGTTTCCGATGGAATTGTAGATCGGAACATCGCCAAATTGCTCTTTTAGGAAGGTGTTGACGTAGTTTACACGATCTGCAAGTCATAGACTTTGGAGTTTTTAATGCGCCATTACATTTCGTATAGTTTTGCGAGTACTCCCACATGTCGTGCGCCTCCAGGTCGCCGGTGATGATGATGTAGTCGAGCTAAATTCGTGTGAAAATTTGTTGATTTTTCGTAGCTTTGTTTTTGAGAATTTTACCATATTTTCATTGCATTACCCGGAACTTAAGCTAAAAAAAATTTCGGAGTGGAACGGGCTCTGACGTAGTCTTTTAGCGAAGTTCAACGGTGTTTTACGTAGTGTAACGTGGTGTATGGCCTTGTAACGTAACGTTTTGGAAGCGGATATGGAACTACACTGCTCCACATAATTATACAGCCAGTCAAATTTTTTCGAAAATCTCACTTTTGAGCGGTCTTCGAGAAAAACGTTCTATTGGAAAAAGTTGCCGCATTCCTTCACATTTACGTACACCACAACCGTTTTTTCATTCCAGGGCCAGAAAATTTTTTACGAACATTTTCACCAAAAACGTTGTTTGGAAAACCCACATAATTATACAGCCACTTTGGAAAAAAATTTATCCAACAACCCAAATCGACCATTTCGTTGAATGAGCTGGAAGAGGCGACGGTCCAAGCTGATGTAGAGATTATCGAGGAGGTTCTGATCGACTTGCTGCCAGGCGGCGATAATCGCCTTTTTCAAGTCGGGCACGGTTTGGTACGTCCTGTTTCCTTCGTAGATCTTGCGCACCATGAAGCCCCAAACATTTTCGATGATGTTAAGATCGGGCGAACAGGCTGGCCAAGTGAGGAGATCGATTCCCCGGCGTCGACACCAATCTTGAGTGCGTCTGGCTCGATGAATCGGGGCTCCATCTTGCTGGAAAGTGAAGTCTTGGTTCCGATGCCGTCGCCAAAAAGGCAGAATTCCCCGGCGCAACACATGACGGTAATCGACTTGATTCATTTTGCTCGAGACGAAGCACAATTTGACGCGGCCGTTCGACGAGATCGCCGCCCAAACCATGATGCTCCCTCCTTGAAAGTTTCGGCGGGCAAATCGGATTTTCTGTTTTCTCAAATCATGCCAATAATGGCGGAAGCCATCGGGTCCATCGCAGGAGAATTTTTTCTCGTCAGAAAACACAACCTAGGCAGGATTTTAAAACTTTAGGAACGCCGCACCTTTCTCCAATCTCTCCTCTGATTGCAACGGGCGAATTCGAGCCGATTTTTGCGATGGTGTTGTTCGAGCTTCGGCGCTTTCTTCATTTTCCTCCATTTGATGAACTTGCTTTTTGAAAGAACGCGCCGGACCGTCTCTGCTGATACATCGAGCTTCAAGTCAGCCTTGATCTTGGTGGTTGTCGTCACCTTGTTAGACGCTTCTCGAACTATCAGGCGCTTTTCTCGGTCGGAAAGCATTGAGGGTCGGCCCGGATGGATTGCTGTTCCATATCCAGTGGGATTTTTTGCAAAATTATCGATGACGGCGTGACATCTACCGAGAGCAGCCGCGATTTGTCGATGTGAGAGGCCCTGCCGCAATTTCGCATCGATTTGCCCTTTCTCGAAGTCGGACAACGGTTTTCCTCTTGCCATTCTGTAAAAATCAGTGTTAAGATGTGCCAAAATAAAAAAGCGCAGGTTCATTTCGAAAAGCAAAAAAAAGAAATAAAGAATCCGAAGTGGCTGTATAATTATGTGGGTTTTCCAAACAACGTTTTTGGTGAAAATGTTCGTAAAAAATTTTCTGGCCCTGGAATGAAAAAACGGTTGTGGTGTACGTAAATGTGAAGGAATTCGGCAACTTTTTCCAATAGAACGTTTTTCTCGAAGACCGCTCAAAAGTGAGATTTTCGAAAAAATTTGACTGGCTGTATAATTATGTGGAGCAGTGTAGAACAAAAACCCTGCAGAAAATGTGCTAGGTCACCTAACCTAATCCCAGGGACAACATAAGAGGGTTACAGTTAGCGTAGCGTATCGTAGTGTATTGTAGCGTAAATTACCGTAGCGTACCAGCCTACATAGCATCACGTAGCGCCACAACTACGACTATATAGCGCGACGTAGCGTGGCATTGTGTACTATTGTGTACTGTAATGTTTTAAGACTGTATTGGCTGCTATTAAAACAATAATATCTTCTAGTTCTTTGATTTCTTCAAGCTATATTCTTTTCTTGCCCGATACCAGACCCATCGACCTCCAGCCCTTGGTTATCTACGCTACGCTGCCGCGAATCTGAAAAAAACAACCGTCTGGAGGGTGGTCCGGCGCAAGGCGCTGCCATCGGCTGCTCGGCGCGCCCTCGACAACGGCGCCTAGCAAGTTTTTTTGGGGGCTGTCGTTGGCAGAGTGCACCAAGTTCCGCCGGTCTGCCAGCACCGTATATGCCCAGGGGGGTGGGTATAAAATGCGGGAGCCTTTCTCCTCCAGCATCAGCTCCCTCAGCAGCTCCAGCTTTCTAGAAGGATTGCCGGACATCTGCCCTAAAAGACACCTGTCCTAAAAGACACCTGTCCTAAAAGACACCTGCCCTAAAAGACACCTGCCCTAAAGGACAGCTGCCCTAAAAGACACCTGTCCTAAAAGTCACCTGTCCTAAAAGTCGTCTGTCCTAAAAATCACCTGTCCTAAAATTTTTTTATACCGTATTGCACCCAATTATGTGCTTTGGAACGAAAATGTTAAAGGATAGATGAATTTTAGGACAGATGAAATGACCTGAACGAAAGATATGACAAATTTTGGTGCAATACGGTATAAAAAAATTTTAGGACAGGTGATTTTTAGGACAGACGACTTTTAGGACAGGTGACTTTTAGGACAGGTGTCTTTTAGGGCAGCTGTCCTTTAGGGCAGGTGTCTTTTAGGACAGGTGTCTTTTAGGGCAGGTGTCCGCCCACCAGCTTTTCTCCTCCAGCATCAGCTCCCTCAGCAGCTCCAGCTTTCTAGAAGCCAACGAGGCATGCAAAAAGTTTGCAATAGTGGCTGCTGAGCTTGGTCAGCATGGCTTTTTTTGCGCGCTCGCCTTTAAACCGACTTATATTTCCAAGAAAATCATTATTTTTTTATTAAAATTACTCAAAAAACTACTTTTCGCTGGCTCAGCTCTAAACTGAACAGTATTGGCCTTCGAATGTCCAAAAAAAGATCAATGTACCTTTCGATACTTGCTCACTTGAACATCACTTCTTGGCTTTCCATACCATGTCCTTCCTACCGTAACCCAAAATTACCGAAACTCTTCCAGATGCTCCGTCAAATCGTCATCCTCGCCGTTATCGCTGTTGCCGCTCAAGGCTTCCTCTTCGGAGGTGGCGGCGGCGGTGGCTGCGGATGCGGAGCCCCTCCTCCCCCTAGCTGCGGATGCGGAAGCTCCCCCACCACCCCCGTAAGTTAACAAAATATACTACGATCATTACATAGCTCCAAAACGGCTTCATCGATCTTGAAACGGCTCAAAATTGCTCTAGAAATCGAGCTAATTGTTGAAAAAACTACCTCTAGCTTTCTCTAACCCTCTAGTACATTAGAAACTCGAAAAACCATTGAAAAACCATTCTAACCCTTCATTTCTAGATGCGGAGGAGGCTGCGGAGGAGGTGGCGGCGGAGGCTACGCCCAGGGCCCGATCGGAGGAGGAGGTGGCTACGCCGCCCCCGCCGGAGGAAACGCCTACGCCGGAAAATAAGCCGCTCGACCCACTAGGAACACTTTTTCTTGTACATAGTGGTCTATTTAACGGTATAAACGGTCTCATCGCAACGGTCTCGTCATCGGGAAATCCAAAGAAATACAATGGAGGCGATTGGAAGGTGATGGAATTCGGAAAAACCTGCCTAAATTAGCTTAGAAATCGAAATGACAATGATTACCACGTTTAGAAATTGGCTTAAGGAGCCTAGGCTTTTTAGAAACCAAAAAAAGTTCAAAAAATACTTGTAAATTTTAATTATCTTGAAAAGAAATGGCAATTTTCCTGAGCAATTCTGTCACAAATCGACGCTAAAAGACTCATGTTTCGCATTCATCACTTGGCCGAAAAAATCTACCAAGTTTTTCTAGATGAAGACGAACTTCAAATCGTTTTCAAGAAGCCTTTGCTTTTATCAGAAAACCCAACCTTAGTTAAATATTTATTAGCTCAAAAGATGTGTCGGAACGTTTTCTTTGTAGTTTTTCGCCTGCAGACCCCTTCAAATTAAATTGAGGAGAATTCTTGTGATTAAAAACATACCAAAAAATAGAAACTATAAACTATGTGTTGCTCCGATCAGCCTCCACTATTGCCCGCACCATCCCGCTAGACTGAAACCCTATTATGGCGAGAAAATGGCTGCAGTCTCGGGCTGGTACGTGCGGAAATATCATCGCTCAGGCTTGCCTCCGGGGGACCTGTTATCGAGTGGATGGATAGAGGGAGGGTTGACTATAGAGAGACTCTATTCCCTCATTCAGCCTCACTTGACATATAAGGCGGTGCGCTTGAACTGATGGACACATTTTCCCCGTTTGCGGCTAGGAACGGTGTATGCACTTGAATAGTTAGCATAGGGCGTCGGGCGCAAGCATAGGTTTTTATGGCCCGATCTTACGATATAGCGCGCTAAAAATGGTAAATTACGGCCTAAACTAACGCTCAGAAAAAAAAACACATTGCGACGAAGAAAGGTCACATTTTTTCTATGCGTGGCGCTTAAGTTGCAGAAAAAAACCGTCCTATAAAAATAACGCCAGAATGTCAGAAAAACCGATGTAAATTCTATAACAAATTAGAGCCCAGAAAAGGCTAGATCCAGGTATCTAAATGTCAAAAATTCGCCTAATTCCCATCCTCAAAATCAAGTCAATTTTTCTATCCACCAAAGCACAAATCCACCCAAAACTCTCGAAGCCTAAAAACCAGGAAATTAGCTCCCTTTCCCAATGCACCCTACCGGAACCCTAGACACCGAAAAAAGCTGTTTTCTCGTTCCAAGGAAATTCCAGCCAATTTAGCACCTTTTAGGTTCAGTGCTCTCACCCAAGTGCTTTGTGATTTTAGCTAATTTGCATGAAAGGACACGCTAGGTGTTCCGGATTGTTTAACCGGTTTTCGAGCCGGAACTGTATACGCAGGCTTGAAAATCAAGGAGCTAGCTGGCCAGCAGCGTTTTCGGTGAATTTCAAATCCTTAGAAAAGTTAGCGAAGTCCAATACTAGCCGGCAAAGTCCTTACGTGACGATTTCTGCGCTAATCAGATTTTATTAAAGCAAGAGACTATGAGAATCTGCTGAAACGAGACGTGCTGAGAAAAACGGTTAGGAAAGTGGAATACAATTTGACATTTACGTAATTTCTATTGCTTTGATTTGATGCTCCACGTACACAAATTTTTCGATTTTCGTCGAATTCAAGATCTATAATCTGTGATAGGACATCCACTATAATTTAATAAAATACTCCGAACAGCTTTCGTTGAATAGAATCATTTCACTTCCGGCCACTTTCCCAAAAAAGTTCTTTGAGTTCTACGCCTCCAAAGACCAAATTCTAGTGAGCATGAGCTGCCGATGCTGTTTGATAAGCCGGTTCTTCAACACCTCCGAAAACACCACCCAGAATTTGGATAGCCGCGCAGGCGGGCGGCATAAACTTTCACACCTGCTGACACCGGATCCGGCCTCAGGGCCAGTTTACGGTCTGCCCAAATCGTTTCGCGAGGCCATCTTTAGCCTCCAGAACCCCAAAGCCGACAGCGTCTTGGGTTTGCGCCGTGAGGCTTTGACCTTGATTAAGATCTCTTTTTCAGCCTTCCAAACACCACCCACCCTAGGGAGGTGGAGGAGGCTACGAGCCGGCTCGGAACTTGATGCACCTTTTTCGGGTCTGCCAGCCGCGCGGAGCGCCACCGCTGCGCCACCACGAGGTGACCGAAAATTTTTGAGGAGTCGCTGCCGTGGCATTAGGGGAAAGTGCCGGAGGGCGATGGCTGAAAATTTGGCGCAAACAGCATAAGGCTTTAATGGGATTGGGAAGGGCGAAAAAACTTACCTAATGGCAGACCAGGCAAAAGAAGGGCGACTGCGAGATACACCACTCTTTCTCTCTTTCTCTCCCTCTCCCTCTATCTCTACTCTCTCTCTCTCTCTCTCGCAAGATCGTTTCACGGGCTGATTGGCTCCTTAAAATGTAAGCTACCTTAAGCTACCATTCCGGCACAATACCCTTTTGCTCATAATCGTACAGGCTGGAACTTCGCTAGAGTTCACCGGGTTTTTTTGCCGTAGCGTAACGTCGTGCATCATTAGTCCCGGATCGCGTAAAGTATCTACGGGTAGTGTAGCGTAACGTAGGCGTATTGCCTCAAACGTGGCGTAACCTAGCAAAGCTCTGTCCGTAACTCGCGTAGTCTCACCAAACGTTGCGTTTCGTACTCTTCTCCATCGTTGTGTTTCCAGGCTCTAACTTAAGGCAGCGCAATATTAAGCTCGCTTTCCGCAACATTACTTTGTCGCTCTCATTGCGATAAGTTCAAGCGAGGTGACGAAATGACCTTTTCGGGGTGAGAAATTACGAGCGGATACTATCAGAATAATGGACGGCGAGTGAAACGGAAATCGGGTGCAGGCGATCGGAAAGCCGGGTGGACTCCTTGTACAATGACCTGCAAGATGAGAAGATAAGTAATTGAGCATATTAAACGAAGATCCTGGCAAAGATTCAGATACAGATTCAGAAAAACAAAAGTATAGAAAAACTGGAAATTTAATCCTGACGTTGTATGGGTATTCTGAAGCGTCTAAAAATCTCAAGAAAACAACATGTGAGCGCCAAAAATACAAGTTTTTGGCAGCCTAAAAATAACATCTATAGATCTCCAGATTTGGGTTTGAATGTTTCGGAACATAGCATTTTTCGGGAAAAGCCGATTTACACGAATAATTGCTCTACAAAAACAAGCACCAAGCTTTTCCTTATCGATAGTCGTAAGATTTCCGCCTCCAACCGTAATACAAAAATCCCTGACGGCGCACCTCATTTAATCTTTCCGCTGCCCTTAACCATCAAAACAAAAACCCCGCAACGCAGCTACCGTACCCAGACAGTACAACAACCATTCCCCTGGGCCGTGGCCTCCAAACGTGACCCTTTCCACGAACAACCGCGTGTGCTCGGCATGGCCTTGCAGCGACCCCGACACGCTCAACCCGAAAGTGGCCATCAGGCGCTTCTTGTGTCAGCAAGGAGCCGTACAAGCCGTCTTTTTGCGTTTGTCGGCTTGTCCGTTTCTGCCTATCCCCAGGTCTGGCACCGAGCGGTTGATGAGAGCCGCAAGGCGAAGAGGGCTGACTGAAAAAGGGCTACGAGATGCACACAGTGCAATAACCCGCGCGGGGAGGCGCCCGCGGGCGTTGCTCTCTATCTCTGGCTCTCGATTTCTCATTCTCTCGCTGCCTGTATGTATGTCTTTCTGTCGGCAAGCGCTGAAAAAACCTTTTACGCCATCGTATCTGCCGGGCGGATCCGGTGCGCGCGCCTGGCGGCTCCGCCCCGGGGCACCGTATAAAACGGACGGCCGGCAGCACGGAGAGCATCGGCAACTCGGCTTCCTTCTCTCAAGCCACCTCCACATCTTGCTTTGGCATTTTAAGGCTTTTTCTAGCTTTTCAAGCAAAACTTTCGAGCCTACTTCCTGCCAAAATTTGAATCCATCCGGCCATCGTAATCCGCCTTTCCGCTCTACTTTTCCATAACTTGTCCTTCCTACGGTAACCCCAGAATTACCTCCTGAATTTGCAGATGCTCCGTCAAATCGTCATCCTCGCCGTTATCGCTGTTGCCGCTCAAGGCTTCCTCTTCGGAGGTGGCGGCGGCGGTGGCTGCGGATGCGGAGCCCCTCCTCCCCCTAGCTGCGGATGCGGAGCTCCCCCACCACCCCCGTAAGTTAGCAAAATATACTACGATCATTACAAAACACTAAAACGGCTTCAAACGATCTTGACACAGCTCAAAATTCATCTAAAATCGAGCTTGAAGTCCAAAAAATCACTCTAGCTTTCTCTAGCCGTAGCCGTCTAGATCTAGTCGTACATTCGAAGCTCGTAAAAACCATTGAAAAACCATTCTAACCCTTAATTTCTAGATGCGGAGGAGGCTGCGGAGGAGGCGGCGGCGGAGGCTACGCTGCTCCCCAGGGCCCGATCGGAGGAGGAGGCTACGCCGCCCCCGCCGGAGGAAACGCCTACGCCGGAAAATAAGCGCGCCCACCACAGCCGCTTCCACCCGATTAGGACAACCTTTATTGTACATATGGTCTATTTATATGATAAAGGTCTCATGGCAAAAATGGTCTTCTACAACATATCAATCAAAACATGGCACGAAAGCAGGATTCTCAAGTCAAAGAATAGTTTTGAGTCTTGGAAACACTTGGGAATAAAGCCACTCAAAACTTATCGAAGTTCTTGGCGCTTTGGAAATAAAAAAATATAAGCTACGGTGTTTTTTAGTGGGTGAAACCAGCTACTCAACGTTCTTTGAAGCTTTCCGCCTTCCTTGCGTCGTCTTATTCGTCTTGATTTCGCCAAGAAAAAAACATAGCAAAGAAAGTTTAAACAGGCCATTTGCGCGTCTCGTTCAAGTTTTTGCTATATCCTTGCAACGTTGCAAACCCTAACTCACATTTTTCTCCGTCGCCGCAATGTGCTTGATGGCGTGTTCAAAGGTGCGCTGCGGAATGTCACAATGCGCGGCCATCCCCCATTCGCCGGAAGGGAGCTTGACGTCTAAAAGTCAACTCTGCCTAAAACTAGCTAGTCCTCAGAGTCCTTGAAC